CTGCTACCGCAACCGTCCGAGCAGCAACCACAACCCAAGGAGCCCCTGCCACCCAGGGAGCAGCCACTGAACGACTCAACATCTACATATGTCAGCGAGATCAAACATGGGTAGGCAAAGAAACCCCCAAAGGAAAGAAAAGGAGGACTCGCCAGAAAAGCAGCTAAGTGATACAGAGGCATGCAACATGACAGAAAAAGAATTCAGAATAAGGGTCCTAGAGTGCATACACCGGACGGAGGAAAAAGTCAACAACTTATTCAAGAAGCAAGAAGAAACAGATGAAAAAATCAACAGCTTATGCAAGAAGCAAGAAGAAACAGATGAAAAAATCAACTACTTATGCAAGAAGCAAGAAGAAACAGATGAAAAAATCAATAACTTATGTAAGACCCAACAAGAAATGAAGAGCGATATAGCTGCAATAAAAAACACCATTGAAATCATCAACAGTAGACTAGGAGAAGCGAAGGACCGAATTAGTGAATTAGAAGACAAGGAAGCAAAACACACCCAAACTGTACTGCAATTGGAGAAAAAAATTAAAAGACAGGAGGAGAGCCTAAGGGAGCTTTGGGACAACATGAAGCGAAACAACATACGAATAATAGGGGTGCCAGAACAACAGAAAGAGGAACAAGGATTAGAAAACCTATTCGAAGAAATAATACCAGAAAACTTCCCTGAGGTGGGGAAGAAAAAAGTCACACAAGCACAGAGAGTCCCAAGCAAGGTGAACCCGAAAAGACCCACACCAAAACACATCATAATTACCATGGCAAGTGTTCAGGACAAAGAGAGAATCTTAAAGGCTGCAAGAAAGAGATGGAAAGTTACATACAAGGGATCTCCCATTAGACTATCAAATGATTTCTCAACAGAAACACATCAGGCCAGAAAAGAATGGACAGAAATTTACAAAGTGATGCAAAGCAAAGGACTGAATCCAAGAATACTCTATCCAGCAAGGCTATCATTCAAATTTGAAGGGGAAATAAGAAGCTTCACAGACAAAAAAAGTCTAAGGGAGTTTATCACCACCAAGCCAGCAATGCAAGAAATGCTAAAGGGACTGGTGTAAAAAGAAGAAATAAAAAGCTCAGAAAGAAAACAGCCACACACAAAAAAAGAAATGGCTACAAACAAGTACCTTTCAATAATAACTTTAAATGTAAACGGACTAAATGCTCCAACCAAAAGACATCGAGTGGCTGAATGGATAAAAAAAACATGACCCATACATTTGCTGTCTACAAGAGACCCACCTCATTAGAAGGGACTCACACAGACTGAAAGTGAAGGGATGGAAAAATATCTTCCAGGCAAATGGAAAGGAAAAGAAAGCTGGGGTAGCAATACTTATATCGGACAAAATAGACCTCAAAGTGAAGGCCATAACCAGAGATAAGGAAGGCCACTTCATAATACTAAAAGGATCAATACAACAAGAAGATATAACCCTGGTAAACATTTATGCACCCAATGCAGGAGCATCCAAATACATAAAAAAACTCCTGGAAAATATCAAAGGAGAGATCGACAACAATACAATCATAGTAGGGGACTTTAATACATCACTGATATCTCTGGATAAATCCTCTAGACAAACAATCAGCAAAGAAACAGCAACCCTAAATGACTCACTTGATCAGATGGACTTAATTGACATCTTCAGAACACTTCACCCCAAAGCCACGGAATATACATTCTACTCAAGGGCTCATAAGACACATTCAAAAATAGACCACATATTGGGTCAAAATAAAGTCTCCCCAAATTCAAAAAGATTGAAATCATACCAAGCATCTTCTCAGATCACGATTGCATAATATTAGAAATGAACTACAATAAAAACAACCCAAAATACTCAAATGCTTGGAAGCTGAATAGCATGTTACTAAATATTGATTGGGTTACCAATGAGATCAAAGAAGAAATTAAAAGCATCCTGGAAACTAATGACAATGAAAACACAACAATCCAAAACCTATGGGACGCAATGAAAGCAGTCCTGAGAAGGAAGTTTATAGCTCTACAGGCCTATCTCAAAAAGCAAGAAAAAATGGTAGTAAATCATCTAACTCTACAACTCAAAGAATTAGAAAGAGAGCAACAAGAAAACCCCAGAGTGAGCAGAAGGAAGGAGATAATAAAGATTAGAACAGAAATAAATGACATAGAGACC